GCGTGGGCAGCCCCGCAGACAGCCAAGCCTTGCTGTGCACCTGTAGGTGCAGAGCCCAATTCTGGGCACCGTGAGGCCAGGTGGCGGCACTGTCACCTGCCCTCAAAGTCCCAGCTCCTGCAGGGGCAGAGCAGCTGGTGGGTGCTCCTAGGAAAGGGACGTCCAAGGACAGACGGGGCACATCTGCCCCGGGGCGAGGGAGGAGTCTCTTTATGGAGGAGGGACATTTAGCAGGGCCCTGGGGGTGTTATGGGAAGGGTTTTGGCAGGCAGCGGGAGCAGAGGAGGCCAAGACCAGAGGTGGGGGTTGGCAGGGAACAATGGTACGAGGCCTGGTTCGGGAGGAAGGTGCTAGCATGTGGGGGAGATGGGGGTGGGGGCTGGGGGGTGGTGAGGAGGAGGGCCGCTTGGGAAGGGCTTGGGCGTCTCTGCTTTCTCCTCCCTCCTCCCTTGCACCTTGCCCTCTCCCCTGGACCTGCTCTAGCCTCTGCCTCTCCAGCTCCCGTGGAACTGTCCGCAGTTTGCTGGGCCTTCCTGCGGTCCAAACGGCAGCAGCACTTTGAGGTGGCTGTGCATTGTTATCCCTGTCGGGGGTGACATAGCTGAGGCTCAGAGATGGAAAGCAGTTTGCTGAAGGTCCCTCGGTGCAGGTGACAAAGGGGGCCTGACCCCCAGGTGGTCTGACTCATCGCCCACTTCCTCTCGCCTTCCTGGGAAAAGTCAATGTCCGCCCAGGCCCACTCCCTCTCAGCGGCTCAGGGCTGCGAGGCCTCTGTGTACTCTGGGTTCTTGGCCCTGGCACGGAAGGCTGAGGCTGCAGGAATCGTGACCTCTCATTGTTTCTTTGCTGGTGGCTGTTATTGCTGTTATTGTAGGAAAAAGGAAGCGATATTTACCAAACACCGAACGCCTTACATAGTTTGCCTTACCCAGTTCTCACAGCAACCTGCAGTAGAAGGTGGCATCATCATACCCAAATCGCCAGTGGGGAAGCTGAGGCTCAGAGAGGGGAGCAACTGGTCAGCAGCTGGATTTGAATCCAGGGCTCCCTGACTTCCAAGCCCAGGTCCTCTTTGCTTTTCCCAGCTACCCTCTGCACTATGGGTGCTGTCTTCAGAGGTGAATGGGGGTCCCACCAAATGAGGGGTGCTGTCTCTGGAGGTTATAGCGGGGGCTGGGGACTGTGGTGGACAGTCCAGTGTCTGGGGGAGGGCCTGCTGGGAGGACAGTCAGGAGCTGTCCCCGAGGGATGATGTGGTGCCCCTGGGGCCTGGTGTCCTAGAGCTCAGGTCGGGGGCAGATGGCCGGTTGGGTCCTCCCAGGTTAATTACCGCCTATTTTAGGCAAGATGTTTTAAATGTCAAAGTCACATCCTAGAAGGTCCCCAGAGACCTCTTGCTCCAGTCCTCTGGCTTTATTAACGAAGACACAGCTGAGAGAGAGAGGCAGGGACTTGCCTGAGGCCGTTCAGCCAGCCCAGGGTTGAGCTGGCCACGGACCCGCCCCACGGGCTGTGATTTTAGGTGAATGGCGATGGCTGTGAGCTGGAGCCCTGTCTCTAGGCCACTTGGACAGACAGTGTTCCAATGAATTGCTCAGATTCTTTCATTCATTCACCCACTCATTCCAGTGTTCAGACACATGTGGGCCAGCATCAGGGTGGGGGACAAGCTGCCCCCTGTCAGGAGAGGGGTTTCGGGGCTCCCAGCCTGCCGGGCCGCCACATGTTTCAGGCCACACCGTGATGTTGGGGACAGGGTCCTGGCCCGCTGACTCAGTACGGCCTCGAGACCACACGTCCCTTCTCCTTTCCAGGCCTTGGTTTCCCCATCAGTAGCACAGTAGCGGTGGTCCTGGCCTCCTGGCTCGCAGGCCGCAGAGGGACAGTGTACTGGCAGCAGTGGGAGTGCAGGTTCACGGCCCAGGCCTCCTGAGCTGCTCAGTGGCAGCCCTGCTGCTCTGAGACGTGACGGCGGGTACGGCTGCACACCGGGCCTGGCTTCCGGTGCTGGGTCTGGGGTGGCATCCGTGACTGGGCCGGTTTTGTCCCTTCTGTGGGCCTCCTTTTCCCGGCTGCCAATGCTGAGCCCCAAGGGCACCGCGGCCTGGACACCCTCTCTGTTCTGTGTCTTGGGCAACAGTGTCCTGGGGCCGCCTGTGGGAGAAGAAGCCCTTGCTGGCGCCCCGGGCGGAGCTCTGGCAGTGGGTGGACTGGACACTCACGCGGTCACTGGTCCTGATCCTTGCCCTTTGTCCCCAGAAAACTGAGAGCAGGGTAACCAGGGCCCAGCCCCTTCTCATAAGTTTCCATGCCCTGGGCAAGTCCCCTCAGGCGCCCCTTGCCCTGTGCTTCCTGGGACCCCAAACCCTGTAGACCACTGCTCCAGGCTCCTGGGGCCCAGCGTCGTCCAGCCCCGAGAAGGGCGAGCTTCCCCCTAGAGGGGAGCAGCTGTCAGTCCCAGGTCGTCGCTCAGAAGCCCAGAGAGCATAGGGACCTCGGAGCCCAGGCAGCCCCTCCGGGGATTCAGCCCCCTGCTCCCAGGGCCATGGAGACGCGGGGGCGGGGCTCATGGCAGGGTGGGCACCAGGGCTGGCGAGGGGGGAGGAAGGCGGGACCACACAGCCGCCAGCCAGAGCGGCCCTGCCTCGTGTGTTCTGTGCATGCTCCTTCACACAAGGGGTCGTTTGAAGAAAGGGCTTTGAGTCCAAAACAGGTCGGAGGTCCCTTGTGTTGGTTTGCCAGGCCGCCGTAACAAGTGCCACAGGTGGGGCAGCTTGAATGACAGAAACGTGTATTGTCTCACGGTTCTGGGGGCCGGAAGTCCAAGATCAAGGTGTGGGCAGAGTTGGTCTCCTCAGAGGACGGCCACCGTCTGTCTGTCCTTATGTGGTCTTTCCTCTGTACATGCAGCCCTGGTGTCCCTCTGTGTGTCCAGATGTCCTCTTCTTAAAAGGACACCAAGCGGATTGGACTAGGGCCCACCCTAACGGCGGGCTTCCTTAACCGAATCGCCCTTTAAACGTTCTGTCTCCAGTATAGTCACATGCCGAGGTACGGGGGCTAGGGTTCCAGCAGACGGATTCTGATGGGCACGGTTCAGCCCAGGGCGCCCGTCATCGTGCGCAGACCCCTCACCGGGGAAGCCCGAGGCCCGGGGAGGAGGGGTTTTCGGCCACCCGGCACGCGGGGCTAGCGCTCAGGCCTGGGGCCGGCCCTGCCGCGTGGGCTGCCTCCTCTCGGGCAGAAGTGAGGCCGCCATTCCTCCACTCACGGGCTCCTCCTCCACGCTCGCTCGGCTCTCCAGGGAATTCCCCCGGGGGGAGGTCTGGGCACTGAGATTTGCCAAAGCTGTAAATCTCTTAAGCCATAAGCTGCTCCTTGGCGTCTCCCGAACGCCCTAATGTGAAATACAGCTGTCTCTCCCTTTTAAGATCTGAGCCCACTGCTGAATTTCCCATCGTGTTTGCACCTAAGGATGCAATTACCGTTTCCTCCCATTGTCCTCTCGGCCTGTCCCTCCGCTCTCGGCTGACGCAGGCTCTCGGCCCCGCTGGGCGAGCACGAGGCGGCGAGATCGCAGAGATCGGGCCGCTTCTGAGAGCTGCCCGTGGCCCCGGGCCAGTGATGCTTATCGGTCCGCCCCGGGCTCCTCTGAGGTTATTTTCTTCTCTTCAGAAGATGCCTGTGCACACCACGGGGACCGTTTCCATCAATTCTTCTGCCGGAGCCCACGCCGGCTGAGTGGGGCCCTTGGCCACCTGTCCCCGGCCAGCTCCTGCCCAGGACCGCTGGGCTGTCTCGGGTGGGCCGGCCTCCATGGCCCTTCCTAAGACCCCCTGGCCGCCGGCAGCCTCCGTGGATCTCAGCCGGGACTCGCGGTTCCAACCCCAGCCCGTCTTCCCGTGTGGACCACAGACCGGCCCCGTTTGGCCAGGCTTATTAAAAGCCACAAGAAAGCCTTTCTCCTGCAGAGGTCATGGGCTTGAGTTTCTAAACTTGTTTGGGAAGGAGACAGGGTCCAGGGTGTGTGTTTTGGGTTTGTGGACTGACCTTAGATTTAGAGCATGAAATTGAGCCCACGTTTCCCTTCTCTTCCACGGAAAGGAAAAACAAACACGCTTGCGGAGCCCTTCCTGCCTCCGGGCCGCCTCTCGGCGCTCTCCGTGGGCTGGGGGTGAAGGAGGAGGGCAGGCCGTACGGGCTGGGTGGGCGCGTGCACCCAGGGCCGTGTGGGCAGCAGAGGGAGCCTGGTCCCCGGCTCACGTCGCCTTCCTGGCGTCACCGCTCTGAGCTGTTGTCCAGTGACGCCTACCTCCCTGGGGCTGGAGCCCTGGCACTGCTGTCCTCTGCGTGTGTTCTGCAGAGGGCAGCTTTCTTTCTGTTCGCCCGTCCACAGTCCCCACGGGTCGGCTCCGTTTGACACTGACGCTTCGTCTCCCGAGGGGGTGACTTCAGGCAGGTAGAAGCGGTGCAGCAGCAGGGACCCATTCCTTTCGGTTGGAGGGGTTTCTTCTGGCAAAGGGCCTTTGCTCTATGGGCTGCGAGTCGGCCCCGCGCTGAGCCGTGCTCCTCTCTCAGGGTGCAGGAACGGTGTGTGTGCAGGGCCTGGTACGAGGTCTGTGCCAGGCGGTGGCAGCTGTTACTTTAGACCGTTCCTCCCCTTAACAGACTCCCAGACTGAGTCTGAGGCCCTGGAGAAGCTGGCAGAGGAGGCCCCAGTCCTGACCATCAGTGACGGTTGAGATGTGAAGGCAGGACGTTGGACGCTAAGCCCTGGGGCCTTTGTGCCGCGTGGGCAGAGGGCCTGGCGAGGCCAGAGTGGAGACCGCGCTTAGAGAGAGTGCAGGGGCTCGAGGAGCCCTGGGCGCCAGCCCGAGGGAGGGCCCGGAGCAGAGGGCTGCAGCCGGAGCCCGCGGGAGCTCTGGCCACCCAGCGGGGCTTGCCCAGCAGCCTGAGTCAGGCAGAGACATGCTGACCCCGCTTTTTTTTGTGTCTTCCAGCATCCGCCAGGACTTCGACGTCCCCACCAACCACCTGATCGGAGCACACAGCTACTGTACCCAGGTCAGGGGCGGCCGGCGCCTCTCCCCTCCTCTCCCCTCCTCTCCCCTTCCGCCTCTGCGCTGCCTGCCCTCTGAGCGGCTCCCCTGCAGCCCCTGCCAGTGCAGGCTGATGGCTCAGACGGGGGCCCCCGGGCCAGCCGGAGGGATGACTGCCACAGCCCCCCATATTTGACAGAGCAGGTCTTTCCAGCAACCCTGCCCTCTGCATGGTCACAGAGGGGGCACTTAGGGGCCTCAAGTGGGGACGGGGGACACTGAGCCCAACTGTTTGTCATTGATCCTCCGTCCCTGGGTGCCTGGCTTCCCATGGGAGCGACCCCTTTGGCCGGCAGAGAGCAGTCCGGCCCAGGGTGGGCAGCCGAGTGGGTGCAGAGGGCGCCAGACTCGAGCTGGGGCTGGGTCCTGAGCCGGACTGGCTCTTTCACTTGCGGACTGAGCTGGGGCGATGTCCCCCCGTCCCTGAGGCCCGGCTCCCTCACCTGTGGGGAGAGGTGTCTGGACTGGACCGGTGCTCTGTAAACCCATGTGCACACGAACCCTCCAGGGTCTCGTTGGTGGGCAGGCTCAGACCAGGGGTCTGGACTGGAGCCGAGTCTGGGTTTCTAGCAGGCTCCCCAGGGTGGGCGGGGCAGCGGGCCCACAGGCCGCTCTGTGAGTGGCAAGGACGGGATGACCCCTGCGCTCTGCCGCCGTGTGATTGCGAGTGCAGGGGTGGGGTGCAGCCTGCGGCCCTCTCCCCACTTCAAGGGGGTGCCCCGCTCCAAGGAAGGTGAGGCACGCCCCCAACAGGGAGCTGGAGCCTGCTCTTCCCCTGAACACCAGCTGGGAGAAGTCCACCCCACCGGACGAGGGCGGGCCTTTTAGCAGCCGCTGCTCCCCGGGGGCGGTTCCCTGAGCCGGACCCCTCACCTCCTTTGTGAGGACAGAGCGCGGCCCCTCGACGTCCCCCTGTGCAGTCGGAGCGGAGCCCCGCTCCCTGGTACTGGAGCAGGGGTCTCGGTGGCAGAGGGCACTAGAAGCCGGGCGTCGCTCCCACAGTCCAGGGGAAACCCTTCTGTGAACTCTGCCCTCCAGAGGAAGGGTGGGAGGGCCGTTCCCATGCCGGGTGCGAGATCTCTGCGGGCCTCACGCACGCGCCAGGCCGGGCTGGATGTAGGTTGGACAGGGGGCCTTCCTACCTGCCCAAGCTCCAAGTCTTGGCTCACTCGGACCTCTCCTCGGTGGTCGGCCAGCACCTGGCAGCCACCTTTAGTCTGGAGTCTTCGGCCGGCTGGGTGGTGCCTTGAGGGTAACCAGTAAACGGGGAGGGAAGGGACACAGGACGGGGAGCCGGAACCCATGGGTGGGAGCTTGGCTCTGTCCCCAGCCAGCTGTGTGACTTGAGCACGTCCTCTCCCATCTGTGAGCCTCAGTTTCCCCATTCCTAACAGGAGGTTGGACCCCTAAGACGCTCTGCGTGAGGAAAGGCCCTTGTTACCCTGATGCACCATCTCCTGTCTCGGGGGTCAGCAGGCTGGTTGGCCTGTTGGTGTGAGGCAGAAGCCCCGTGGCCCCTGAACCCCGATCCCACGCAGCTGACGAAGGCAGGGACAGAGCTGGGGCCCAGACAGGGGCATCCCGGCCTCCACCTCCCTGCGGCGGCTGCCCTCTGCTCCCCGCCCCTCCCGAAGACCCCGCCACCCCCGGCGGGATCTGAGCAAGGCCCGGGACTGAGTTACGGGCACCACCGTCCATTTCCTGGCGTTGCTAATGTGCTCTGGTTATGTAAATGTCTCTGGTTATGTAAGATGTTATCACCGAGGGAAGCTGGGTGAAGGGTACACAGGAATTCTCTGTACTATTCTTACAACTGCTTTTAAGTCTAAAATTGTTTCAAAATAAAATAGGGTATTAAAGAAATTACCCTCCTTCAAGACCCACCCAAATGTTACTTCTCCACAAGTTGCTGGGACCAGTCATGTGGTCGCGTGTCCATCTGGGCCCAGAGGGCCTTGCGCCCGGGCTTTGGAGCCCCAGCCACATTCTGTGCTGTGCAGGCACACACCTGAGCCCCCATGGGGACCGTGACAGCCAAGGTCAGGGCCATTCTTTCCCTCTAGCAGGACGCCCGCCCCACCAAGGCCTGGTGCACACTGTGCTCGATGGACACTCTCGGAGGAAAGCTGGACGAGTGCCCAGGGCGGGGTTGGCAGCTCTCCCCCAGGGCTTGTGGGGTCGCTGAAGTCCAAGCCCCTCCGATTGTGGTCTCCCTCCCTCCCCACTCTCCCTCCTCCTCCCACCCTTCTCCCTCACTCCCCAGCTCGCCTTGACCAGCCCCTCCCATCGTCCCGTCCACAGGAGCTGGTCAACCTGCTGCTGACCGGGAGAGCCGTGTCCAACGTTTTCAACGACGTGGTGGAGCTGGACGCCGGGGATGGGAACGTCACGCTGCTCAAAGGCATCGCCGCCCGCAGCGACGTCGGCTTCCTGTCTCTCTTTGAGCACTACGACGTGTGCCAGGTAGCGGGGCGCGGGGCACGGGGGTCCGGGCTGAGGGGAGGTGGGGAGGGAGAGCTGCTCGAGTCCGGTCCGGTCCCCCTCACGGCGGGGGGGTCTGGGAAGAAGTGTGGCTTCGCTGCCCTCGGGTGCCGCGCTCCAGATTCACGCCTGGAGCCAGCTGGCACCACGTGCTGGGAAAGGCTGTTGGAAAGGGACTTCTGGGGGCTTATGGTGGGATTGCAGGTCAGAGGGTGGCTGCCTCTGTCGTGTGTGTGTGTGGCGGGGGGGCCTTCTCCAGGGACAGGGGACCCGGAGTTACAGACCTTGCGTTAGTGTCCCAGGGCTACTGCGGTATCAGCCGGTGGCTGAAAACCACAGAAATGCATCATCTCACACGTGGGGGGCACAGGCTCTCCCAGCAGAGGCCCCGAGTTGAGCGTCGGCAAGGCCACGCTCTGTCAGAACCTGCAGGGAGAAGCCTCCCTCGTCCCTTCTAGCTTTTCCTGTTCTCGAGCCATCCTTGGCGCTCTTCCGCCTACTGCTGCGCCACCCTGCCTCCGCCGCCCCTGCCTCCGTCGTCCCGTGGCCGCCTTCTCCCTCTGTGTCGTGTTCTCTTCTTGTACGGATGTGGGTCCTGTTGGATTAAGGGCCCACCCCACTCCACTAGCCTCATCTTAACTGCTGTGTCTGGAGCAACCCAAATACGGTCGCATTCTGACGTCCTGGGGGCCAGGACTCCAACATGTCTTTGGGAGACACAGTTCCACCCGCACCAGGCCTCCCTCAGTCTCTTTGCTGGTGGATCAGCCCCTCTCACTGCAGCCAGGGTCGCGGGTGGGGCGGGGCCCCGGGGAAGCTGGACAGGGGACAGTGTGACCGTGCCTCTGGGCAGTGTGGGCAGGGGAGCGCCGGGCCCTGTGTCCTTGTCCCAGCCTGCTGTGGCCCTGCTGGGAGCCTCAGTTCTCGCGTGCTCGGGGAGGACGGTGTTCCCCGGCGGGCTGTGTCTCAGGAGCTGTCCCAGGAGGGCAGCGGGAGCTCTTTGCACGGTGGCTGCCCTGCACGGTTCTCGGAGGGTCTGGATGGGCCGCATTCACTGTGGATCCCCAGAGCCAGGGACGCAGTGACACAAGGGGACACTCAGAGTGCTAGGCAACTGGACTGGCAGAGTGGTCGGAGCCCGGCACTGTAAGGTAGGGCTGTTTCATTATGCCTCTCTCACCTGATCACACGTCCGGGTGTGCTGTCCCATCGCCCATGGGCCGTGTGGCGTGGCCCACCCCCAGCTGTCCCCTCTGGGTGACCCCCACCCCCATGGACAGGAAGCAGACTCGGGGCTTCCAAGCACTTGAGTGGGAAAGAATGATAACGGCTCCGTCCCAGGTCTGCTGATGTTGGAAGAAGCCCAGGAATGCGGCCACGTGGCCTGTGAGAAGCACCAGGGCCCCGAGCACCAGGCCCTGGGTGGGCTCTGCAAGCATGCGGCTCGGATTCCACAGGCCGAGAGGGTAACCTTGGCGGTGCTCGTGGAATCCCTGGCTTCTGCGCCGTGAGCCCTGGTTCCATTCCTGAGCTGAGGGCGTTGGCTGACGAGTCAACGGTTTCCTTTGGTCTGCAGAGGGCGGCTGATGAGAATATTGGGCGGGGGGCAGGGAGGGCCGTCCTTCCCTTGGCGTGAAATGCGGGTTGAGGAAACTCAGGCCTCACAAAGATGGGAACCCTCGGGTCCACACAGACCCCCGCCTGGGTCGTGTGCTTGGCTGGGGACTGGGAGGCAGTTTGACCCTGCACAGCAGCATGGCGTCTGTGCCCCTGCCTTGGCACTGTGGGGCCTTCCCCAGCCACCTGCGATCTCACCGGTCCGGCCTTGCCCACCATACCTCCCCCTCATTCCCACCACCCGGGGCTCAGGGGTGAGGGGTGGGCTGCAACACAGGTGGCAGCTCGAAGGCCACCTCCTCGTGGTGGTCTTCACGGTGAGGGGGGACGGACAGGCCTGGGAAGGGCTGCATGGGACCGGGAGTTAACTCCGGTGCTTCTCCCCTGCCTGAAAGGGGCGCCTGTTGCCATCTCTATGAAGGGACCCCAGCAAAGACGGAGCCAGGTTCGCTGCAAGCTCCACACTCCTCCATGTCCCTCGCTCCACACACGGCACCGTCTGCCCCGTCACCCAGATCAGGAGCTCGTCCAGTCCTTCAGGGGACCACACGGCTCCCACCCTACATTGTCTCTCCAGTCTGTTTCCCCCAGTCTGAGCCACCAGCCCCGCTGGTCTGGGGCTCCCGTCCCCACCATCTCCGTGTCCTGTCTCTGCGGCGCGATCTTTTAGAGAGCGGATCCAATCACATCATTCCTTTGCTTAGCACCCTCCAGGTCTCTGAGACTGTTACGGGCTATTCACGGGTGAACTGTGTGTCCCCCCCAAACTGATATGTTGAAGGCCTAGCTCCCGGGGCCTCGGGACATGCCTGTATTTGGAGAGAGGGCCCTTACAGAGGCGGTGAAGTTACAGTGAGGCCGTAGGCTGACCTCCGCTGCCCTGTGGCTGGTGCTCTTGTCGGGAGTAGATCGGGACACGGATAGACACGGAGAGAAGACCCTGTGAAGACCCGGGGCTCTTCACACCCCCCAGCCATGGAGAGAGGCCTCAGGAGAAACCGGCCCCGCTGACACCTTGATCATGGACTTCCCGCCTCCAGAACCGGGAGACATACGTGTCTGCCGTCTGAGCCACCCGGTCTGTGGAACCCCGGTCGGGGCAGCCCTAGCCTGCGGCCGCGGTTCTGCGGGTCCGGCACTTCCCAGGACCTGTGAGGCCCCGGGAGACCTGTCCCTGTGTCCCCTCCCATCACGTTGTGGCTTAGATGTCATTTCCTACAGGAGGCCTTTCCTGACCTCATCACTCTGTCTAGACAGGGCTCTCCCCTCGTGGCTCCTGCCCACCTATCATTTCGCACCATAGAATCTTAATTCTTTCTTCCCTGGGCCTCTTTTTGCTCAAAGTATCACATTTCATTGCTTGCGAGGTGCAAACTCTCCCCCTCTTTGAACATTCTGGAGACCATGACGCGGCACTGCAGTCGACGGTGGTCAGACTCCAATGGCCCGCTCGCGTTCTTCTGTAGCCGCAGAAGAAAATAACGGCCACTCTGACGGCATCTCAGGTTCAGTGGAAGGCGGCGGAAATGCTCCCGTAGGATTATTTGACTGCCGCCTGCCTTCCCCACTCTCCTGGTAGGCGCCATAGGACAAGGCTGTTCTTACGCCCTTCACTGCCGTATCCCCATGGCCTGGCGCGGTGCCTCGGACCGGAGCGCAGGCCTTGCTGGTGCACGGTGTCCTTGGAGATGGGAGACTGTAGCCCTGCCTGCAATCACCTGTGGACCCTTTTCCATTAGGGCTGCACCTCCCCCACCTCTCAAAGACCTGAGACCCCACTATAGAAAGTAGTCCGCGGTTGTGCCGCGGCTGGTCACCCACCAGCAGAAAGCTTCCGCCCGCAGTGGAGGAAACTCGCCCCGCCCCCGCCTCCGCGCCTGAGGCCTTTGGTCAGCTACCCCGGAATCCAAGGAAGGAAACTTTGTCTTTGGAAAATGTCACCCACTTGGAAGAGGCTCCTGAATGAGAAAGCTCATTTATAAACTCCCTGGGTAGCTTTTTTTGACTTTAATCTTTTGACTGCTGTATAAATGGCAAGCTGCCCTTTTGTCCCTTCGCTGGAAAATTCAGGGTGGCTGACCATGCAGACGCCTGCCTCCGGGCGGCTGCGCGGCTCTTTTTCCTGCCGTGAGTGAGCCCTGGGTCCCCAGCCTTCGGGGCTCCCTCTTCGAGGTGACGCGCCTGCCAGAAAAGCCTCTTTGGAGCCTGGAGCGGAGGCCAAGTTGGCGGTGGGGTTCAGGCACGTCCAGCCACGTCCTCTAAGACATCTAATTCCCATATCCCACTGAGGAGCGGGCTCCGCAGTCACGTCTGAATGTCACATGGGGCTGGAGCGAGGGCCCGATAGGCCAGGTGGGGACAGGGCGCTCGGGTGGAGAGAAAAGGGCCACCTTGTAAAGGTTTCCCTCCCACCCGCTGGCGGCGGCAGCTGTCCAGAGCAAGCCCTGCACCAGGGACGGGCCCAGGGCGCTCTGCGCAGCCCCTCCCCCCGCCCAGAGCCCGCTCCCACCGGCTCCGAGGGCCTGAGGAGGGCCACGCTTCCGTGACAGGCCCCAGGGAAAGTATGCCCTTCTCCCCACTGGAAAAATAATTCCCATTCTTTCCTTAATCCACAGGCTGCGGCTGTAAATACCTGAGCAAGCAAACATCTCCTGGGGCTGGTAGGGATTTAGGACAGAGTCAGTCCGGCCTGGCCCGGGGCATGTATGCACTGAATAAACCCAGGCCCGGGTTGGGGAGAAGGCTTGGTCCCAGGGTGTCACAGGTGACAGAGAGAGTGGGCTGAGGGGCGGGGCGGCCAGGCACTGACCCCCCCTTGGCGGTGAGAGCAGCAGGGCCCTCTACCAGGGACGTTGGAGGGAGCACCTTGTCAGGGGAAAGTGCCAGCCCCCATCCCCCCACCCCGCTCGCCTTCCCTAGTGTGCCTTACTGCTCCCTGAATGTCTCTGGACATGGGTCCCTGGCATCACCACTGACTGCTCCCCCACAGGCTGCCCCTCCCCCCTCCCCGTGGCGCCAAGTCCCTCACCCACCTCACCCAGGAGGACCCTGGTTCATCAAACATTTGCTCGTGTTGACTGTGCCCCTGCTTGGCGCTAAGAGCCCAGCCCAGGGTGCGGGTGGCAGGCAGACCTGTCCTCATGAGGCAGTGATGCGTGTGCCAGAGGGGGGGTTAGCCAGTACCTCCCAGGCGGGGGCTCGAGTTGGCAATGGGTGCCCCCTGGTTGGGTGGTTTGGGTGATGCCGGACCCTGTGGAGGCGGAGAGGAGTGCCAGCCCCCCAGACTGTGCCCTGCGGGTGCACAGGCCCCAGCGCTCACCACGCTGGGGTAGTCTGAGGACTGGTGGGAGGTGCCGTGGGCCACCAGGTGGGCAGGGCAGGGTGGGGGAGGCCTGTTCAGGAGGTTGTTCATTGTCCGGGCAGGGTAGGCCGGGCATGAAGGACCTAGGGCGGCCGGCGGGCAGCCCCGTGTGCCCGGTGGCGATGGGCTTCCGGACCGAGCATGTCCGCTGGGCTGCCTGTGAGGCAGAGGCCCTGCGAGCAGCAGGCCGAGCCAGCGGGGACAGCTCTGGGAGTCGGGCTGTGTCTGTGAGAGGCAGGGGGGACCCCAGCATCACACACAGGTCACGATCTCCAACCGGACCCCCGAGGTCAGCCGGCCCCGGGCGTGGCCAGGAGATGCTGAGGCATCCCTGCTCTCTGCCCCCCGTCCAGGTCGGCTGCTTCCTGAAGACCCCCCGGTTCCCCATCTGGGTGGTGTGCAGCGAGAGCCACTTCAGCGTCCTCTTCAGCCTGCAGCCGGAGCTCCTGCGAGACTGGCGGACTGAGAGGCTCTTCGACCTGTACTACTACGATGGCCTGGCCAACCAGCAGGAGCAGATCCGGCTGACCATCGGTGCGCCGCCTCCCCGCCCCATCCCGTGCAGCCTCGGGGAGCCTCCAGGCCGGGGGGGTTGGAAAACAGGCCCTAGCACACCTGTGCACGGCAGGCAGAGAGCAGTGCGGACTCGCCGAGTGTCAGGATGGGGGGGTGGCAGGTGGGTGCCAGGGTCCTCCTGTGCAGGGAGCCAGAGCTGGGCCACGAAGCTGACGGTGCTGTGGTGTGATGAGAGCCTGAGAGTGTGCATTAGCCTGGAGTACCACGCCAACAAATTTGGGGTTCATTCTCCAGGCAGCAGGGAGCCCTGGGAGGTTCTGGAGCAGTGGAGCTATGGGATCAGATGTCTTTTACATGGAATTATTCTGGTAGCTGAAGCTGGGGCAGGAGGGTGGGGTGGAGACTGGAGGTGGGAGGCCGGTGAGAACTGAGGGGCAGGAATGAGGGGGGCCCCTAGGGCGAGAGGAGGAGCAGGTGCCAGAAGAGGCGGGTCCCAGGAGGGGGGCTGTCATTGGGACCGCAGGGTAAGCTCAGCCCTGGCCTGAGTGTGCGCCTCTGTCGCCTCCCCAGACACTACCCAGACTGTCCCTGAGAACAGAGACAGCAACCTTGACCTCATCCCGCCCCTGGAGCTCTGCATCAGGACCAAGTGAGTCAGGGCCCCTGCCCCGGGCTGAGGAGCCTCACCTGGGTGGCTGGGAGTGTGGGGGTATGGGCTGCAGGGGGGAAGATGCCCCAATTCAGAGGGGGTGGGCCCCCCTGGAAAGACACAGTGTTTGGGGCTCATTTGTATGGAGCATTTCGTGATCACCCTGGCCTAAATGGAAAAGGGTGTCATTCGTGGGGGGGACAGCTTCTGAAGATGTCCCTGAGCTGGGGGCTGGGGGTTGGGGGTGAGGGGGGCCCTTGAGACCCTTGCTTGCTCAGGGCAGCAGCCATCCAGTGTGGGAGTGTTGTTAGGGTCAGAGGCGGGAGGACCAGTAAGGTTACCTGGGGGTAGGTGTGGGGGGTCTTAAGCAGGACAGGAAGGTGGTCAGGACTGGCCTACCCAACCTATATCTGGGGGCCGGCTTCCTGGGGCCATAGCACCCTCTGCCTCGGGGACGAGTGGCCGTGGTCACTCTGCTGCTGCTGGTCAGGCCCACTGGGTGGAGGCGTCCCTTAGCCTCAGGGGAGGGGGGCCCTGGCTCCTCTAACCCAGCCCCACAGTGTTTGCTGAGGCTGACATTCAGGCCAAGATGGGGGCTGCCCAGACTCAAGGGGGAGTTGGGCCTCACTTTACCCCCGAGTTCTCCAGCAGGGCCCCAGGGCTGGGGCGGTGTCCCAGACGGAGGGTGGTGCGCTTGGAGCGGTGGGAAGTTCCCGGGCTCTGGGGGGCCCTTCCCTGAGCCCTGGGGTGGTGACTTGGAGGCCTCTGGGTGTGGTAGGAGGGGCAGCCCAGGGAAGGAGGAGCCTGGATTCTAGCGCCTTCTCTGGGGGAAGCAGTGCAATGCGCAGGCGCGATGAGCTCAGGTTCTGGAGCCAGGCTGCCTGGATGTGAATCCTAGCCTTGCCCCTGCCGGCTGAGAGCTGCTGGATTTGGCCTCTCCGGACCTCGCTTGGTCCTCTGTGCAGTGCAGGGTCACGGCAGGGCCTGGCTCCCGGCGTGCTGCAGCTGCCGGGGTGCCACCATGCACTCTGTAAGCAGCGCTCATTGCTGTTGTCTCAGCCACTCAAGAGTCAGTGGGATGTCAGGCGAACCTCCATTCTCCAGTTTGTGAAGTGATCAGGGTTGGGGTGGAGAGATGGGGTGATGGCTGAAGGCTTGCAGCTCTGAGATCCAGGCAGCTCGCCCGGAACCTAGGGGCGCTGCTGACTGGTAGGCAAGCAGGCCCTTGGATGGAGCTGTACAGAGAAACAAGACACCATGTGTGCAGGGAGAGGACATGGGCCATGTCGAGACTTCCCCACTGGGCCTCATCCATTCACCCATCTGTTCGCCTGCCCACCCGCCCACCCGCCTGGGCCCGGGACGAAGCATTCCTGTGGGGTCATATGCCGGCATTTCTTTCATCGGGAGGGTTATAGGCACGTGCAGGTCGCTTTCATGTACAAAGGGACACTCATTCCGAGTGATGAGAGCAGGGCGCGCAGCAGGGAAGGGAGGTGACACTGGCCTTGGCGCCTTCTGTAGGACGGGGTGGGAGGCCACGGGCCATCCTTCCTGCAGGTGGGCTTGTAGAGCAGGGCTCTGGAACCACACCCTGGGCACGGGCTCGGCCCACTCCCCTGTCCCCTGGGGCCCTTGCTGAAGGGTGTTTGCCTTTGCAGCCCCCCTGGGGGCGGCTGACCACCCTGGACCTTTCCAGCTGCCCCACCTGCAGGGGTCCCTCTTTCCATGGGAAAGCTTCGGCCACCGGACCCACGAGCACCTCTAGGGGCCCGGGGATGGACTTCCTGGGCTCAGCCCTGATGGCAAGTGCTGGAAAATGACTTGGGGCCCCGCTCCGTCCGGGGTCTCAGTCCGGACACACTGTGGGCCTGGAGCCCCTCGTCCTCTTCTGGCAGCTGTCCCCCTCTCCAGTCCCCACCCCCCCCGCCCCACTGTGGCCTCGTGCCACGAGATGAACAGGGAGAGGATGGGGGAGGCTGCTGCATCGGGGCGCGGGGCTCGGCCTGGGGCAGGTGGTCTGCTCTGCCCCTGCCCCCGGCCCTGCTCACTGTCGGGCGAGGAGCTTGGGCCAGGCGGAGCCCTGGCACCTCCGCCGACAGTGCTGCTTGGTCCTGCCACGGAGGGGACATCATATTTGTGCAGCCCCCAGGGTTAGGGGGCCCGGACTGGGGACCCTGGTTGGCACAGACCTCACCCACCTCGCAGTGGCTGAGGGATTGATGGTCCGGTACACTGGCGTCTGGCTGTGGCTCCCCCATTGGCAAGGTTTGCCCTGGAGCATGGTCTTGGGCCCTAGCGGGCACCCCCTGGGGAGTGTACTAAAACACAGGTCCCGGGGCTCACTCACCTCCAGGGGCTCTGGTCAAGTAGGTCTGCTGTGGGCCCGAGAATGTGCATTTCTGAGGAGTTCCCCGGTGCTGCTGGGGCTGCTGTCCCTGCCCACACTTTGAGGACCACACTTCCAGGGCCTGAAAAGGGCAGCGCCTCCCCCTCCCAGCTGCCTGGTGAGATCAGTCACCAGTGGATGTGCCAGCCCTCCGGTGTCTAGCACATCTGGCGCATCTGGCGCATCTGGCGCATCTGGCCCGCTGCAACACACAGGGCCCCGCTGGCTGCCTGCCCCCTGCCTTCCAGGTGTGAGTGCTCCGTCCTCCGCCAGGACTGTCCCGGAGCCCCTGCCTGCTTGCCTGCCCACCGCCCCCATCTCTTGCCCCGCCGAGAGGGTGCACCTGTGAAACTTTCCCAGCGTTACTGCCGTCATTCCCGGAAAAGTGGAGTGGGCGGAGTGGGACCTCTGGGTGTCCCCCCATCTGTCTCCATCAGATAACACCCGCAGTAATGGGAACCAGAGGGCCCGGCCCGCTGGAATCCTGCTCCAGGGGTTGGATTACAAAGGCTCCGGCATGTTGTTTTCATCCCAGACTCCCAAACAGTTCAAAGGGAGGAACTTGGGAAAGTGAACTTCAGGGTCAGTGAGGACCCTCTGGACATGGGCCCTGCCTTTTCAGGGACACTTCCTGCTGCCGTGAGAAGCCCCTGCCCTGGCAGGAAGGGGGTACGTACGGTGCCTTGGCCGGACTCGGGTCACCTCTGAGGTCAGCCAGGGCTCTCCGCGCAGGACTGGCCTGTGGGCGGGCGGGTCCCCCCATCGCTTCCACCCTGTGGAACCCTGCACTGAACCCCATGGAAGGAACATCGGGATAAGACTTGCTTCTTGCTCTCAGAGAGCTCCCAGTCAGTTGGGAGTCAAGTTCAGAATCAACTCTGCTCTGGTCCAGGGAGAGACGCACCGTCCACCCTCAAACCCAGCTCTGTTGCCCCATAAGGACCCCTGGCGCTCACCCTGGCCCAGCGCGGAGCACGCCGCACACCTGGCCAGCTGGCACCGGGCGAGGGCCCCCGGAAGGGCCCCCGCTCACCACCAGGCACAGCCCTTCTCTTTACCAACGGGGTCTCCTAGTGGAGGTCTGTGCCCGGGCCTCACCTCTGGTCACGAGTGGGGCCTGGAGTTTAGGCCCCAGCTGTCCCAGCCCAGTGGGAGGTCACTCAGCAGGCACTGCGACTTCCCACCACCTGGCTTTGTTGCCATGGCGACGTTGCACGAGACCAGACTTCGGGCTTTGCCTTCAGGGAAGAGCATCCTAAGTTGAACGATCCCCAGGTTCCGTGCCGGGTCGTCTCCACTGTCTGGTGTGATGCACTCCTCCACCTCCGTGCGTCTCCTGTTACCTTCGCTGTGTCAGGGTCGCGGGGCCCTTTCCCCCCCCTTCCCACTGTCCTCTGACCATCTCAGCAGAACCGGGCTCACCGGGGTCATTGCCCAGCAAGACACACATGGTGACGGCTCTCAGCCCTCCAGCCCGGCGAGAGTGGAGAAAACGAAAGGTTGTCCGCAGTCCAGAGGAGGGAGGCAAGGCTCACAGCTGGGGCCGGGCCGGGCCCCAGGCATTTCCTTCTGCAGGCTCAGGCGAGAAACTGAAGACGTAATTAATTTCAGCTGCGGACATTGCCTCCCAGGGCCAGAGCCCAGTGCCCCGCTCCCCTGGCTGCCCCCCACCCACCTGAGGGTCACCCGCGGTGGCAGGGTTCCCCGGGTGCTCCCACTGCCTCAGCCGCCCTCCTCTGATCCCCGGCCCCGAAGCACTCGCACACACACCCGCCCCAGGTGTTCCTTGTACCTGGACGGGCTCACGGGACACTGAGCTCCGTGATGGGGCGGGGGGAGTGCGCAGGACAGAGCCCAGCCTCCACGGTCCTGCTCTGTGCCGCCACGTCGCACGGCCACCAGGAGGTCTGGTTCTGCTGTCGCCGACGTCTCCCACCTGTCGATAGGGTGTAACCATGTCCTCTCCGACCGACTGTCGGGGGACTCACTCCTGTGTGAGGGGGGAAGGCAGAGGGCAGGGACAGGAGAGTGGCTGTGGGCCACAGAAAGGGCTCTGTGACGGCCTGGGGCAAAGGGGAGGGGCAGGGCAGTGTGCACAGAGATTAAGGTTCCCCCGCTGGGTTCTGGGCTCCACGAGGAGCAGCTGGCGCGGAGGGCTGTTCACGTAGCAGCACCCCGGGCGCCACGCTCAGACCCCGAGCTGGGGGCCGAGGAAGGGATGGAGGCGAGCGGACAGCTCTGCTCTCCGGGGCTCACAGCCTGTCCGGGGAGGGAGGCCCCTAGCATTGCCGCTGGGGAAAAGGTGGCAGCCATGCTGAGGGCCGACCCTCAGGGCCAGAGAACCCTTCTGGACGGAGTCCCGGGTCTGATCCTGAAGGGTGGGGGCAGAGGGCAGAGGGCAGGTCAGGCCACAGGTGAGAGACACCCACCCCGTGGGGCCCAGGGAGGGAACTTGCACCTGGGAGTCTTGCCTGGAAGAGCGGCGTGAGTCAGAGGAGCATGGGCTGTGCTTTCACCTGTCAGCTCTTGAGGCCGAAACCAGGCCCGCCCTGCTCCCGGCCCACACTGGCTCTGTCCGGCATCTTCCCCCGCAGTCGGGGTCATCGGTGCCGACCCTCGGTTGGGCAGTAACCACCGTTCTGTGGTGGTGGCGGCCCTGGCGGAAGGGCCTCCCGTGGGGCTGCGAGGTGGGCCTGTGCGAGGCCGAGCCGCCCGGGCGCCCGGGACCGCGGCATCTCCTCGGAGCTCTGCCCCGGGGCCGGCGGTGCTCAGTCGGCAGTCTTGCGCCCCAGGGGCTGTTTGTTAATATCTGGGGACATTTTGGTTGTCGCAGCTGCAGAGGGGCAGGGGGGACTGTATCCAACAATGCCCCAGACAGCCCCTGCGGCAGAATTTCGTGGCCCAGAATATCGGGGGTGTGCAGGTCAAGAAGCCCCGCTCCTCACTCAGCCTCAGCCTCCTCCTGAGTTACCGCTGGACGGGGCCCCGGTGCCGGATGGGCCCCGTCTCGCCGGGTCCTAGGGCACCTTCCCAACCCCGTCATTGGCTCACAGGACCCGCCCCCCAACACGAATGGTTTTGAACGTGTATGAGTTTCGTGTCTCGGTCCTTTCAAATTTTAAAACGTCTCTGCTTTGATTTTCCGTCGTAAACTGAAAACTGCTTCTCTCTGGGGCTTTAATACCCTCTCTGCGTTGGCACCTGTTGGCTGGGAGGGGTGGGTTAGGTGCCTCTGTGAAAACCCTCAAAACCAAGCGTGAACCCTGCAGCCTGGCCGTAAGCGCCTGTTGGCGTGGTGCGCTCCTGCAGCGACGGGCTGGGCTGGCTCACCCGGCACTGAGTGCAGGTGCCGTCCCGCCAGGATCCGAGACGTCTGCGGAGTGGGCGCTCGGAGGGGGCGCTTCCATCTGCCTGTGCTGAGTGGCGAGGACGCAGTCTGGGAGGCGGTGGGGGAGGGAGGGCCTCAGGCTGGCTGAGGGTGGGTCGTAAAGGGATACAGGAGGTCTGGTCCGTCTCTGACTCATCCCCTCATTCCTGCCATGCCCAGGGGCGAGGACCCACCCTGCTGTGGACAGTCGTTGTCCCGTTCAAACCTGGGTCGCGGGGCCAGGCCGGACAGAATGCCACTCTCCTCCCTGACCCGTTCGCTTGCCGTTCTGGGGTCTGGACTTAGGCTGTGTCCCTAGTGTCCAAAACTCCGGTTAAGTGATTTTCAGAGGCTGATGCCTACCTACTAATCTTAATAGAACAATAAAAGCTTTTTAATGACATGCTTCAAAACTGCAAAGATGACGAACAAAGAAAGAGAATGGACAATCTCGAGCTGCCGGCAGCGTCCATTAAGCCCCGTGCGGCACGGCCGAGGAGTGCTGAAGCACTATCACCCAGTAGGCGCAGCGGGCCCGGCCTCGCCCCTGGGGCCCTGCGCTCTGCACCCTCCTGCCTCCGGAACTGCTCAGCTGTGCGGGCCAGAGCTGCATCCGTCTTCCCGCTGCCGGAGGACATCATCAGCCTCCGGCCCCAAACAGTGCGTGCAGGCATGGGCACCGACCTGTCTGACTTCTCCCACCACGTCTGGTTATCTCCAGACACAGCCCCAGTGTCTCTCCTTCTAGCAGTGGCCAAGGTGACGGTGCTGATGGGTCCCACTGAAGTGGCTCCGCCCCCAGGCCCTGATAGATTCCTTGGATGGACCTCCGTGCTGACGCCCAGCAGCTCAGGACGAAGTCTGAAGCACCCAGACACTGCAGAATCACGTGCTTCATCCACACCCAGGGGGACCAGCGCTGCCGACCCTGTGGGTTCACACGACGTGACTGACAAGGGGAGGCAGGGCCCGTGGACGTGCACCAGGGGGCTCTTCTCTTCACAGGGGAGGCCTGGCAGGAGTCTCACTAAGCAGCTCTTCCAGCAATGACTCTGCAGCGAAGACCTCTCCTGGAGACGTAGGCGGACACTTGCGCATCCAGACTGGCTTCTGAGCGCTTGTGACCGGAGGGTCCCGGGGAGCAGTGGTGCAGGTGTGGAGACGGCACCGCTCAGCCCGCTGTGCAGGAAGGAAGGGCTGGGTTGCCAAAGACCAGTGCAGCCTCGTTTGGGCGACATGTTTTAGTGTCACGGGGCATTACCCAGTGACACTGAAGAGAACATGGCTGGGGTTGGAGGGACCTGTTCCCTAAAACCTTGTGACCTCCCTGGCTGAGCAGGCTACCCATCACCTTCTCGCTGAGTGTTTGAACCAGGGGCAGCAGCTCAGCTTTCACACACGGACCAGATCAAGATTTCTTGGCACGCCGATTGGCGTGCGTGGCATAGGGCAGGGCTGTGTCTCGTGTCCCGTGGTCACGGGAGGTCGAGCCCCACAGAGCCCGGGGCAGAGCCCGGGGCATGCAACGCCCATTGTCTCCAAACGGGCTCTGTGCCGGTGCCTCCCGCACTGCGCCTCTCTGCGGGAGCGAGAAGCACAGAAGCGCTGTGAAGATCTCTGTTTTCTCCGGATGACGAGGAGTCGTCTTGCTCATTTGAAGGGGAACGGGACGGTGTAAAGTGTGCAGAACATGCGACAGGGGGACAGGCGGCCTTCGCGGATACCGGGAGGTAGTCTGGCACGAGAGGGCCGCGGGCCGGAAGAGCAGGGTGCACACAGGAACCCCGCTGCCCCTGGGCGAGGGTCCCTCTCAACCGGAAAGCGAGGGACAGGGACGTGGCAGCTGGAGCCAGGCACAGGTGCGAAGAGAGACAGAGGGCGGAGGCCCGAGGAAGCAGAGAGACAGACATGCAGCGGGAGCCTGGGCTGTTCACGAAGATGGGGGGTGCTGGGTTTGTGGTGAGACCCCTCGGTGCTCCCGAGCTCCGGTTGCGCCATGCAGCCGTCTCATTCTGAGTGACGCTGCCCCTTCCTGCTTGCTGCCGTCCGGTCTCGGGGCTGCTGGACTTCCTACTGCGCACGTGCGCAGTTAAAATGAGAAGAACGTCTCTTTCTTCCTCCTCCGTGGCAGTTACCATGTCGACTTCCGTCCTGAAGAAAAACCTCGGGTTTTGGAAACACCTGCTCCCTCCCTCCCCAGACCCTGCGCTGTGAACACGCATGTCCACACCCCAGCCTCAAACTCTGCACGCTGGCACCGCCCTGGAGGTGTGTGATGTCCGTTTCCCAGCCCGTTTACTCTTAGGAGATGCGCACGTGTGTGAGGCGCCCGATGCCAGATTCTGCAGGAACGTGCCCTCCGCTGCAGGGGTGGGTCCTCCGAGGCATCTTAGAAGAACGCTGCCGTGTGTTAAAGGCACACCTGGGAAGTGTCACGGTCTCACGAACAATGCTTCCGCCTGGGAACTGAACTATTAGTAAATTGTAGCTAAGCCTGGACTACAGTTGAATTATGCTCAGTGTTTCCTAGTGTGTCATAAAGTTGTTTTTTTTTAATGCAAATCCATGCATTAAACAGCCCACAACTCTTTGCAAGCTTCCCAGACTCATAGAGCAGAGCCCAGAGCGCTCACAGGGCACAGCGCCGGCCCTGCCCCTCCCCTCGCTCTGCCGCCCTCCCTCCACACCTGTCTGGGCCCCAGCAACCAGACCTCTTCCTGCGTCTTGAACGCGCCAGGGGTTTTTTCATATCTAGGTCTTCCCACGCGCCTTTAAAGCGCCCCCATCAGGCACCCCGGAAAGTGGCTGGATTCAGATGTGTGTAGACCCCTCGCGTGAGCCGAGGGCCCCACACTGCCAGGCACGCACGAAGGGGGTCCCCAGTGAACACTGTGGCAGGAAGCGGTGAATGAATGACCTGCCCCTCCACCACTCTCCAGGGCCTTGGGTGCATTTGTGTTCTATGAGGGCCTGGGGTGTAGGTTTGCACGTGCGTGTGGAGGAGCCCGGGGTTGGGGGGCAGCACCTGACCCCTCCCAGACGGCAAGACGAGCAGTTCAGGGGAGTGAGGGCCCGAGGTGGCTCCTGTGTGGGCCCTGCAGCTCTGACCCTCCTTTTCTGTCCCTCTGCTCTTAGGTGGAAGGGGGCGTCCGTGAACTGGAATGGCTCGGACCCCATCCTGTGAGCCTGCGTCCGGGTGGCTGTGTCCTATGGCTCCACCGCCCACCGCAGGGCTGACAGCTGGGCCCCAGGCCTCAGGGACGAGTCTGTCGGAAGGGCGTCACCCCCACCTGGGCCAGCACTGCCGCAGAAGCATCCGGAGCCGCCCTGCCCCTTCCAGGAAGGGCCCGCCCAGGACCTCGATGAGGGCCCGGGTGCTGCCACCGTGCGGCCCCCTCCCAGCCGAGCTGTGACTGCCGGGGACAGGAGGGCGGCTGGCTCCTGGGGCCGCTGCTGCCTTTCACCCGTGTCCCCCCACCCCGCTCCCTGCCGGGCTGCTCCCTTGCCCAGCCTCTGGCACGGCAGGTGCGGGACCCTCGGCCCTTCCATTCCCGGGAGCCGGCTTTCTATAAAAAACAGGAGACAAACCCACGGTGGGAGCTGAGACTCACGTGTTCTGTTGTCATAGAGAAACCACCAGGTCTGCGTGGTTCGTGGCTCAAGTGGGAACAGTCCTGGGTGGAGGGACCCCGGAATCCTGGTGACCTGTGGGCTACGATGTCCCCTACCAGGGTCCCTGCAGGCAAGTGACCGCCTCTGGCCTTGTGGTGCTCGTGCCTGGGAGCTGGCGTGGTGCTTCTGGCTCAGCCGGACTGCTGCTGGTCACACCCGGGTCCAAGGCGCCAGGTGTCACAAGCCGTGCTGACCCATCTTGGACAGGCCTGGGTTCCTGGGGCCCCCAGAGGGTAGTCTTGGGGACCTGCAGGCTGGGTGGGCCTGGCCGAGTGGGCGTGGGGCAAAGGCCTCGTGGCCATAGCGGGCAGGAGCATGGGCATGGGCGTGAGCAGAGGGACTGGGTGTGGTCCCCCGGGCGTCTGCAGTGCGGCACGCGCAGGAGCCGGCTGAGGATGGGGGTGGGCAGTGTGCGGGGCAGTGTGCGGGCAGTGTGCGGGCAGTGTGTCGAGTTCCAGGGCCGGGATGGAACAGCGGGCCTGGGAGAGACAGTCACTCACGGAGGGAAAACTGCAGGGGAAGCCGCCTTCATTCTGCTAATTCAGACCCTGCCGATTTCCGGAAGGAGTGGGAGGCAGTGTGGAAATGCACCAGGAGGCTGGCAGAAAAGACCCGAGAGAGCGCGGTGTCAGAGCCCGGCCCCAGGACTGAGGGCGGGCACCAGGGGCAGAGCCCCAGCCTCCGGCAGCAGCCTGTCCTGTGAGAGCAGCGGGCGGCAGCGTGGCAGAGCCTGCGGGAGCACAGCCCCACGCTGTCCCTGCTGTGCCCGCCCAGCGCTTGGGCCGGGGCTCTGAGCGGCACCTGCAGAGGTGGGTGTTGACCCAAGGGGGCCGAACTCAAGGTGGCCCCTGGCCCAGGAAGAAGCTGCAGAGGCCCAGGAACACCGGGTGGCAGCCGGTCCCCAGCCTCCGAGTGGGCCCTGGGACTCAGGACGCAGGTGGCTTAGGGCCTGCGTTCGCTCTGCAGTGCTGGCTGAAAGGAGACCCCTCCTCTGTGAGTGCGAGCACACAGAGCAGGGGGCACAGCTGGCCTTGGCTGGTGCCCCTCGCAGGAGGAGCTCGTTCTGCGCTCTCGTGGCCTGTGCAGGAGCTGTAACCGACCATCGGCGGTGTTTGGCCGGGCAGGGAGGGGCCCGGAGGGAAGTGAGAGGGCAGGGAGCGCTTTGTCCGGGCTGTGCGGAGGCCCCAGCGGGCGGCTGTGTAAACTCCAGCGACCATTCACAGCGGGCGTCCAGCAGAACTGCTTCCTATATGTCCCCGAAATGTTTACGCATTTGTTTTCCTTGGCCGGGCCGGGCCGCTCCAGCTGAGTGACCAGCGGGGATGGTGGTTTCCTCGCAGCGGCCTTGTTTATCAGCCTGGAAGGAAAGCTGTCTTTTCAATGAGACTCACTTAACCTCTTGACCAGGTCCGATTGGCAGGGCTGGGGAAATCAAAATATTCCCGGCGTTGTTTGAGAAGGCCAGCTCCGACAAATTAGAAAAGCACTTTTCCGGAAGCCAAGACACAGGTACACAGGCAGTTCGACGCCCTTTGCCTGGAATTTTCTGGAATGGAGGATGAGCAAAGCCGAGCACCGCCCCCTCCCGGGCCAGAAGCGAGAGTAAGCAAGCCCACAGTGCCGGCCCGGGCCTGCGGGAATGAGACAGGCTGGAGCACCCCTGCCCGCGGGCGCGTGCCCTGCGGGGCGCGTGGCTTTCTAGGGAGGCTGTAGGTAAGCTTCAGAGGCCCATACACGCCCCCCCATTATATTAAAATTGTTGGGTACATGTGCATATGTGTACTTTTCTGGGAAGAGGATCCTTAGCCTCCCTAATGGCCTTGAACTTGAAATAATGTCCCCTTTTTTCCTTCAAGGTAAAGAGCCAACCATGTCCTAGAGGTGAGTGGCCTCCCAAGGGTGGAACCTGAACTTGGCCGCCATCTCTGGGGTCTGATCCATCGAACAAGCAGACCTCAGTAGGAAGGGGTTGGGCTGTGTCCTTTCTTACCATAACCTCCCACTCGGTCCTCTCTTTTTCTCCACTCTTTGTTTCCGGGTCTCGGGGTGAAAGAGCGGGTCAGTCCCCGTTTTGGGGGGGGAGCAGTGTGAGCAGGAAGACCAGTCTAACGGCGACACCTCACTCCCTTCTCTCGTCAATGGGAAGCTCTTCCGGGGGACCTCCGGTCACTGGCATCTTTCTGCAGGACACGCAGTTTTCCCGAAGCCTCCCTCCCCGGACTTCAGGAGAGGGGGCCCCGCCAGACCCGCCGGCTCAGAAGCTGCATTTCCACGAAACCCCCGGGGGAGTCAGACTAACGTTTGAGGAGCTCTGCGGCAGAGCCTGCCGTGTCCAGGGGGTGGGGGGCGGGGGCGACTGCGTGGACGTGAGGGATTGCAGAAGGCACGTGCAGGGAGGCGCGTGCAGCCCCAGAGAGGCTGCAGCGGGGCCGGAACCCCTGGCTCCGGTGCTGATCCCCTGCTCCCTGCCTGCGTGGCCTGAGCACCAGACATAAGCTCCCTGGGCCTCAGTTTCCTTGTCCTGCAAAACGTGCACCTCCCAGAGCTGGAACGGGGACTCTCTGGGTCCGCTTGGTGTGAAGCGCACAGAGTAGGGCCTGGCCCTTCACAAGGGCTAAAGGAGGGTTTGCTCGTCATTTTTCCGGGGGGCTTGGGGAGGCCCCTCAGAGGTGGCAGCCCTCCCACCTGGGCCTGAAGGGCTGGGCCGGGTGCTGACAAGTGGAGAATTGGTCGGAAGGCCTTTGCAGGTGAAAGGGACGCTGGGAGCCGAGAGACTGGGTGTCCGGGTCTGTAGGTCTCATGGCGGGGGGGTGACCCAAGGGTGGGAGTCCCAGAGGCTTAGGAGAGGAGGCAGGCAGTGAGTGGGTGATGGCCCTTCCCGGTGGGCTGGGGGCTGGGACGTTTTCCAGACCCGAGGGCTGTGCAGAGCTGTGTTGCAGGCCTCCGTCCTGGCAGGGGGTGGTGTGGGGCAGAGAGGCAGGGGGCACGCCGAGGGGCTCCTAGGTGGTCCCAGGGAAGGCAGTGTGAGTGACAGGTGAGGGGGCATGGCGGTGACAGACGCTGATGGCCTTTGCTCCCCGACGACAGTCTTCACGGGCCCCCAGGCCCTTTTGGGTTCCTGAAACTTGCAGGAGGCAGTGAGGCTGCCAAGTGTGTTTGCAGGTATTTCCCTCCACCCACGAGAATCCTCCCTTCTCCCTAATCATGCCCTAATCCTCGCGGGGCTCCGGGAGTTGGAACTACAAGGCAAAAATGCCAGGCATTTGCGATACGGAGATTGCTCAATGCAGGACAGGAGTGGGCGGGCGGGCGGGCGGGTGGGTGGGCCAGTGAGTAGGCCAGCTGCCCTGGGGGTCCGGGCGGCACCCTGCCAGAGCCTGCATGTCACTCCGGCAGACCTGCTCCGGACAAGCCAGGGATCGGAGCCCACTGGTGTGGCCCTCGGTGACCGTGGAAACCCGAGGTCGGCCGTTTCCACCCGTCCTTTCACGCCACCACGACCGGGCGCTTCATCCCACGGTCCGGCCCAGGTTCCTGCAAACACCCGTCCTGTGTCCTGGAGAGTCACTGAAGGCCTTCTCTTTATAGATGGGGAAACTGAGGCCCTCAGTTAAGAATCCTCCCAGAAAATTTCCCCTCCGTGGGGTTCTCTTGGAGACCAGACCACCAGATGGTCTTGGGGCTAAAGGGCATAGATCTGGTATCTGAAGGGGGAGGGACATGGGGGGTGACAGCAACCTGCCCCTCGATCCCCTTATCACTCCCCCAGCTGCCCCCGAGTGCCACTGCAGCTGCTTCCCCAGAGAGCCCCCTGCTGCTCGCGGCCCTGGCTAGTGCTGCGTGGGACTAGGTCCCTGCCCTTCGGCTCCCCCGCCCATCTGTCAGATTCTCCCCACCCCCCAGGCCTGTCTTCAAGGCCTCTAGGGAGCCCTGCTGCCTTACCAGCTGAAAGTGTGGGCCCCCCGGGCCCAGCTCCCACTTAGTGGGTGTTGGCCACCCACCTACAGGTTACCCCACTACTGCATGCACCTGTATCCCTGCCACCGCCACCACCACCATACTGTGCTCTCACCTCTGGGCCTGAGGCTGCATGTCTTCCCAGGTACCTGTCCCATCCTGGGGGATGGAGCCCAAGGTCCACACCCCCTCTCCGAAGAAGCCCCTCCCTAGCCTGCACCTGTGCCCCGCTGCCCTCCCTCCAGGTGTAAAGCCCCAGGCACTGGGTGGCCGGGTGGAGAGGCCGCAGTTGCCTGAGGTCTCTAAACTGTTGATTCCGGGTGTGGTTTTGAGATTAAACCTGGCGCCTTTCCTGTGGCCCCTGATAAGGGCAATCCAGGGCTCCTATCTGGAGTTTTCGGCTTTAAAGCCCGCTGACATCGGGGAGCCCGGCGCAGTCCTGCCCGTCTTCCGAGGGGAGCCCTGGGCGATAAGCGCCCACCGCCTGGGCCCTGCTGGGTGCCCTGTACTGTAGGTGCTCTCGGGGCATCGCCTCTGAGCCCGGCCTCCGCCCTCCCGCTCCTGTCCCAGCACAGCGACTGAGCCCGAGCGGTGCTATTAATAATTATGTCAGGCAAGTGTGTAAACAGGCTGCACTGTGCATGGGAACCTCAGTCTGAGGAAGGATTGTTTCATCGCTGATTCATCTCCCGACACCCTTCTCCAAACTCCTGGGCTCAGATCCTTCTTAGATTGTACTGGGGGCATAGGGCTTGGAGGAGGGGAACCTACAGAGCCTGGAGCAGTCTGGGAGGCTCCTTGGAGGAGGAGGATTGAAGCTGGATCCTGAAGGAGGGTTGGGAAGAAAGAGGGCCAGAGGCAGCCCAGGCGGGGTGGTCAGGGCAGAGCTGCCATGGGGATGGGTCTGGGGGGCCTGGGGTGGCAGAAAGGCTGAGGATATTAGGGCTGGATCCTGAA